CCTTAGTGGTAAGCCATTTCAATGAGTTGGATTCCCTGCTTGTTTAAAACAGAACGTGAACTGTTATGCGTTTTCTCCCGTTTTTTTTGCTGCAGTGCCTTCGTGCATCGCTGCGGCCGCACGGCCCGTATCGGCCACCTGGGCAGTGCCCTCGTTTTCTTACTTCCTATGGAAGAGGCTTACATCCGTTTCCTGGCCATTAACCAAAAGGTGAGAGGGTCTCCTTGTTGTATTTTGATCCAAAACTAATAAAAGAGAGAATCGGTCTGGGGATAGGAAAAACTTGGAATATCGGAAATTAAGGAACGGGTTATCTATTGTCATTTAGTGTTATTTTATGTCGAATTGAAATAGCTTTTTTTTTTCTAAAGAGGTAAGATTGGTCCTGTTCACAGTCTCATAGAAATAATAACAGAAGAGGAATTTATTGGATTTTGTTGCTTTATAAATAACATAACAAACAAACGTAGTATTTCCTCTTTTTCCTCCCAACAACTTGGTGATTGAGCCAAAGTCGCCCAGTTGGCTTTCATGCAAAATGAAACAGAGGTGGGATTCTATCTGGTCAGACCGGTTCTATAGAACCGGTTGTTACGATTCTGTGTGGTTTGGAGAACCGGCAAATCGCGCCACTGTCTGGCCCCTCCCCTCCCCGCCCACTCGCTCCTTACCTGGCATGCGCGCCATCAAACTTGCCTGTGTTTGGTAAGTTGCTATTTTTCCTTTCCCCCCATCCCAAACCATCAGCTGTTCTGTTGTGCCAGGAGATTTAGATTAGCTAGAAGGCAGGAACTTGTTGGATTTCTTGCTTTCTAGCTAATCTAAAAGCAGATCTGAACCTTCCTCAGGACTGAAGCTTCTATTTTTCAGTGCAGACTCAGGTAGCCGATGGCAGAAAGATGGATCTTTGAGTGAATCTGTGATTCTGTGAGCAACTCTATCTGCCTGCCTGCTTTGCCTGATTTTGGGCAAAAGTTGCTCTTTTTTTATAAAAAAAATTCAGTATTTACATACATGGTGTGTTGTGAGTTAATTTTGTGAGTTTGCTTGCAAGCAAGTTTTATGTGACAGACTCAGGTAGCCAATTGCAGAAAGATAGATCTCTGAGTGAATCTGTGATTCTGTGAGCAACTCAATCTGCCTGCTTTGCCTGATTTTTGGTAAAAGTTGCAAGTTCAATATTTACATATTTACATACAAGCCACGCCCAGACAGTCACATGAACACCAGGCCACACCCACAAATTAGGCCATGCCCACAGAACCGGTTGTTAAGAAATTTGAACCCCACCCCTGGAATGAATGCCGAAAGGGAAAGAATCTTAAAACGTGTCATTTTGAGAGTTTGAATTAGATAAAAACGCGATCTTCACAATTAGTGCCCCATGGAGGAACTGAGACCGCAGAGGAACGTCACGGATGTCCTCCCTAAGCTGAAGTCGCTGAGTCTGACTGACCGAGCCATATATGAAAAAGGGATGAAGGCGTTTGTCTCTTGCGTCCAAGCCTACGCCAAGCACGAGTGCAACCTCATCTTCCGAATAAAAGGTGAGTTGGTCTGTTTAAAACACTGACCGTTTCTATTGTTTTTGAGGGTTTTTTTTGTTGTTGTTTAACATGGCCACCACATAGGATAATCTGCCTATTAGCATTTCCAACGTTTATTTCTTTCCAGTTCTTAAAATAACTTTGCAATCTCTGGAACTTTCTGTTAGTTTTGGCCACTCCTGTTTTGTTATGCTGATGTCTTGATTATTAAAAAAACACCCCACCCATATCTTGCTATTTGTCCTTTTCAATGTCTGACAGAAATAGCACTTATATACCACTTCCCAGTGCTTTTACAACCCTCTCTAAGAGGTTTACAGAGTCAGCCTCTCCCCGCAAACAATCTGGGTCCTCATTTTACCCACCTTGGAAGGATGGAAGGCTGAGTCGACCTTGAGCCGGTCAGGATCGAACTGCCAAATTGTAGGCAGTCAGCAGAAATAGCCTGCAGTACTGCACTCTCACCACTGCACCACCGATCTCTAAATAAGTAATCTCTCCCTCTCTCGTTCCTTCTCTCCCTCTTTTCCTCCCTTTCTTCCTCCCTGTGTGTGTATTTGTGTTGAAAGATTCCATGCCCAAGACTAGGTAAGATCCCTAAACATTTTGTTGGACTTATAGCCAAGAATTCTCTCCTGTTCTCCTATCACATTTCAACAACCTGGTGTGCTACCAGGTCAAAGTGAGACACGCACACAAACCAAAACAGTTAGAAACCAAAAAACACCCACCTCCTTCCAGTTGCTCCTCTCCAATGACTGGGAGAAGCCCAAGCCTAGGTACATTACTGCATCTGAAGTGGCCCCCCGAGTCTCCGTTTGGAGTTCCACGCGTGCCGAGACCCACTGGTCTGTATCCCTTTTGAACAGATCTGGACTTTGCCAGCCTCGCCCGAGGTTTCGCCCTCTTGAAGATGCCAAAGATGCCGGAGCTGAAATGGAAAGACCACTCGGGCTTCACCCCCGTTGATATCGACACGGATTCGATCGCGTTCAAAGACAAGAACAGGGAAAGGCAGAGGCAGAAGCTGCTGGAGCAATGGAAGGCAGACGGCCCTGTCCGCAGAATGGGGAGGAAGACGCCCCGAAATCAGCCTTGGTCCAAGCAGAAAGCCAAGAAGGAGAAGAAAAGGAAATTGGTAGCGAAACGGAAAAGGGAGGAGGTGAGTTTGGGCAGGAAATGGTCTTTTCTGTACCTCTTTGTTTCTTGCAGGTGACCTAAAATGTCTCAAGATAGGGGAGCTAGAGCAGGAACCCCTGTTTTTAATAACTCTTGGGGTGGGGTGGGGGACTGGGACATCCCATTAAGCCAAAATGGGATTCATTTAGTTTTGGCTAAAGAATATCATTAATTAACTATCAATACAGCCTAATCAAAGAACTATCAGGAATATTCTTACATCATTGACCGGGCAAGTCACTGTATATAAACAGAGAGCAAAACCCATTCCCTTGTAACACTGATGATGTTACCTAGCAAGGTCATGAAATGTCTACAAGAAAACACCTCTGAGAGCACCAACTTCTTCCTTGCCTCTTCTTGCTTGCCACAAACTCCTGTCCCTACTAGCACCGATGATGTTGCCTAGTTGGGTCATGAAAAGTCTCTAAGAAAACATTCACGCTCAGAGAGCACCAGCAACCCCATATTTTCAATCTTGAGCTACAATAGTTCTATTAACAATTAAATCAACAGTTTGTCCACCGTGCTGAGATAAAACAACCACCACCCCTTGACAATGGTTTAAGGTAACCTTTCACTCCAGGGAATTCACCTTGTGGATGGACTGCCCTGAACAAGTGGAAAGGGAAGAACTAAAGAACTATTAGAAGCAGCGGCAACTCGCTACAAAAGTGTGATGACCCAAAGGGGCGTGGCACAAAAGCAACAAAATCACAAAAGTAGATAAAGTCTCCTTAATTTCTCCAACTTGGCCCCCAATGTCCAGTTATCACCTGGAGAAAAAACTCTCCCAAGAACAGTTTTTAAAGGGAAGAAATTTAGTCTGAACCAGAAGTACATATAAATTATAAATAAAAACCAACACAAACCACAACTGCAGCAATTAACGAGACAGGGCAGGATAAAGAATTGCAGACTTCAAAAGATAATGAAACACACACAGTTGGGAGAGGACGCCAGAACCCAGTTAAGACTTGACAAAGGCAATGCATGCTTTGCTTCCAGCAAGGTTCTCTGCGCAAACACCCTCTTTATCCTGTTTTCCCAGCTGCAGCTAATCAGGGCCTTTTTCTCCCCCGTAACCATGTTGCTCCCTTATCCGTTCCTCTCTGCGTGCCCTAGGATGAAGAGGGGGTGGGCCTGGGTTTTCCTCTGAATGCCCAGCCGGACTGGGCCCTTCCCCAGTTTCCCCCACAGCCACTGGAGCCACACTCTCACTCCCTCTAGGAATCAGATTCCAACAGGGGGCATGACAAAAAGCCTTGCTGATTTTGAGTTTTGTTTCCTGTTTTTAAAATCTCTCTCTCTCTCTCTAGGGTTCTGACCTTGACAACGAGGATATGGAGGAGCTTCTGAACGATACCCGGCTTTTGAAAAAACTCAAAAGGGGTAAAATCAGCGAGAAGGAGTTTGAGAAGACGCTGCTGGGCGGTAGGAAAGGAGGAAGCGGCTCGGAGTCAGAAGGATAAAAAAAAATGTGAAGTGAAAACGTCAACGTTTCTTGCCTCAATACAGACTCTTTGGCTGGGGTGCTGAAATTCCTTAACCTCGACTGTGGATTTCTCTGTGCAAAATTGGGATGATCCAAGCTGTTTCCCTCTTATTCCCACTGGAGTCACTGCAAGCCAATTCTGTAAGAAGGATCAGTCTGTCTAATTCAGTACTGTCTGCTTGCAGTGGAAGTAAATGATTTGGAGACATTATTTAGCCCCCGCCGTTTAAAAACTGCAGGTTTAAAAAGCCATGAAATCCAAGCAAAAAACGTTACCCAAATACAGCCCGGTGACATATTTTTTTACCTGCATGTAAATTAGTTCCATGTAAATGTGGCGCAGTGGTGAGAGTGCAGTACTGCAGGCTACTTCTGCTGCCTGCTGGCTGCCTGCAATTTGGTAGTTCAAATCCCACCAGGCTAAAGGTTGACTTGGCCTTCTGTCCTTCTGAGGTCAGTAAAATGAGGACCCAGATTTTGGGGGGGCAAGAGGTCGACTCTGTAAACTGCTTAGAGAGGGCTGGAAAGCACTGGGAAGCGGTATATAAGTCTAAGTTACAGTAACACCATGATTGTCACTGCATTATCATGCAATGCTATGAAATGGATCCAACAGAGTTTTGACTTTGCCACCCTCTTACTTTTTAGAGAATACATTTTAAACTTCATTCTACCACAGCCTAACTCAGGCCAGCAGGTGGACTGGAAAATACATGATGAAACCTTGGTTTTCCTTCTGAGTGGATTTATTCCAATAATTTACTTTTCGGACGGTGAGCTTTTTTTTTTGTACAAATGAATCTTTTCTTTAAAAAAAAAGAAAAGAAAAAGAAAATCTGTAAAATAAACTGGCAAACGATCAGGAAGCTCCCTGCTCATTTTACATTTACTGCTTGCAATCCACCCATTCCGGGAGGCCCTTTACAAATAGAGTTTAATCAGTTCATCACTCACAGCTGAAGGAGTCAAGACCCCGAGATCCGTAAAGAGCAGTGTGATAAGAGACGGGGACGTATAATCGATCCAAGGATGCTCGACCGTGAGAGGCTTTTGAGTCTTCAGTGTATCTGCTTTGTACTGAGAATAACGAAACAAAAGATCTGGGTTATTATTACTGGAGGATGCCGGCGCTTGCCTGGGTGCAGCCAACTCTGAAACACATAATTCCTTGTCACCCTTGATCCTGGTTTTCTCCCACCCCCTGGGTGTATCCTAATTCATATTCTCCAATGGGACACCTCCATAGCCAAGAGTCATCAATCATGTTCTCCAGTTAGAATTGTGCCCAGCAGAAACTTCAGTCAGCTATAGTTACTATCTTTGAAAACATGGAATGCAAACTGTCCACTGCTCTCTCCTCCCTTTCTGTTGGCAACTCTAAAAAGACCATAGAAATATTTTATGAGTTGACAAGAGGCAGCTTTGGTTAGTTTCTTAAGCTGACCTACCCCCACCTTCTGTCCCTGCCCTACAGATAGTCCTCATCTTACAACAGTTCCTTCAGTGACCATTCAAAGTTACAATGGCACTGAGATAAGGAAGGCCAACCTTTCCAGCCAGCTACAGGTTCTGTTTTGCCCAGAAAATAGCCGCCTCTCTTACCTTAAATTTATCCGGGACATCCTGCTGGTTCAGAGGGAAGAGCCGTACAAACTTAAAACTCTCCGCAACCACGTAAAAGGGTTTGTTTTGCGCTTTGGCGCAGACAGCCATTTGGTTGGTCCCAATCTGAAGAAGACGTTAGGCAGGGGGAGAAGACGTACGGTGGTTAGGACATGTCCGAAGCAGCAATTTGATTCACTGGAATTTTCTGAACAGAAGTGGAAGATGGGAGTGCTAGTCCCGCCTTAGGCATGAAAGCTGGCTGGGTGACTTTGGGCCAATCACCAGGAGATGGTGAATTCTAGTTCTGCCTTAGCCATGAATGGATGAGTGCTGTTGGGCCAATGAGCAGGAGATGGTGAATTCTAGTCCTGCTTTAGGCATGAAAACTGTGCTAAGAGTGCTTTCCCTAAGGAAAAGGGAGAATTGGACACACAGGAATCATTTGGGAAGTCCCTCCATGATTGACAAACACTCTTCACCTTATTGATGATCCCGCCATTTTCGACCACTCCTTCAGCCCCCACGATCACCAAATCGACCCTTTCCATGATGTATCTTTGAAGGGAGACAGAAAAACATGGTTCTTTGTCCAGATCTTTTTGGCAACGATGCTTTGTGATCGTCACAGCTTATGACCATCATAGCTGGGCTCAATTACGGTCGTGAGTCAAGGACTACATGAAATGTACACTGTACAACCTCTAGTATTAACAGTAACACCATGGTTGTCATGCAATGCGTTTTGGCACACAACGATTGTCGTGTGCGAGAGCCAGGCCACTTTTCCTGTGAATAAGCTATATTGCTGTTTTAACTCTCCAAACAGAATCTCCCTAAATGGCTTTTATCTCATGTTGATTTGGGAAATTTCCCATTTCAAAAGCCCCTTTGCCAACATTAATCCATCAGACTTACCCAACTGCAGCATCTAGAATTATGGTGACAGGTATTCTGAGATTCTTGAGCGCTTCTGCCATCTTCTGCCTGTGTTAATGTTAGGACATGCATATTAAACGAGTCCGTTTAATAAACAGTACCTTGATCCTACAACCTACCTTTTATTAATCAAAGCAATTGGTTAAACAAATTTTAAATGTTCTCTTTATTACTCCTATTTTTAAAACACCTTTTATTTGTTTCACAATTATTTGTCTCCCTCAATTTATTCATCTCCCTCAACCTGGGAGACTGCTTAAAAATCACAGGCTAGGGATTTCAAATTCAAAACAAACTCCTTCAGACAGCCTCAACAAGAGAAAAAAAAGACTTTTCTACATTTTTTTTCTAACAAAGGGAAAGTATTTTTCTTTTACTTGCCCTGCTCGATCCGGCTGCGATTCCGTGACGTAGACGCTAAAACGTTTCTTGGCCTGTGCAGCTTCTTCTAACACTCGAAGCACCACTTTTGAGTAAGCGTGGGTCAGTATTTTCTGGAAAGACAAGCCAAATATTTTTCTTTTCCATTTGTAGCTTATGTCATCAGTCCCAAACCCTTTTCTGTTGGGGGCAAAGAACAGGAAGAGCTTCTCTTCTCATTCAGTGAAACCAGTGGGAGAAATATAGGAAAAGGATTAAAATATTGCATTCCCCCAGCACTGGCTTGCTAAATAACAGGAATTAATTCCGAAATATTTTTATAGCCACCTTCAAAAAAATAATCCCACCATGGTTGTGGTAAATAACACGACATTTTTTTAAAAAATTAGGTGACTCAAGATTACCTGGGTTATATTATTAAAGAACAGGAAGGAAAAATACTAAATGTAACAGTATTACTCACGCCACCATCTTTCACAAAGTTGTGACAAAGCTTGGCGATTTTCTTCCTCGAAAGAGAAATTCGCTGAAGGAAAACCTCTCCTCTTTCAATCATGATTTCTTTGCATTTGGAATAGTCCTGGGGGGAAAAAACGGAAAGCAGTGACACTGAAAGATGATACAGAAGATTGAAGAAATAAGTGAAAACATGTTTTGGCTAGTACAATTAGCATCTGTACCCAGATGAGTGAATGTCTGGGTTCACACAAACTCTTACTCTTCCAATGCATGGAAACTTATTCCGCGTTGTAACACGTAAAAGCAAATGCTTTCTGGATAAGGAGCTCTTCAACATTTAATATATGCCAAGGTCGATCCCTGACATTTTGAATTGTTTCAACCATTCAGGACAAATCTATTTTATCAGAAGCACATTATTCTTGTAGCCACATTCAACACTTTTTAATGTTAAAAAATTTGGAAGCTGAGTGGCGAATATTTACATGAAAGAACTGAGGGAAACTCACCGGGTTTTCCAACGAAGTGAGACTGATGAATCTTAAGAAAAGCTCTCCGCCAGAAGAAATGGCCACGGAGGAATCGACACGAGAGAGCGTTTCTATAGCCTGTTTTAGATTGGCTCTCAGTCCTTGGATTGTTTCGCCTGAGGGAATAAAAAAATAAAAAAAGCTACTGTGTGGGCTTCATTTTTTTACAGATTTCATCTTGGGAGTATAAAATAAAAACTGAGGCAGGTAAATGGGAAGCCGTATGATAAAAGTTAACTCAAGAGGGGAACACACTTTCACTAGGTTCATGTATTAACTTCCAGATCAACAATTTTGACCTCAGAAAGGAGTAGTTTTACAAATCAAACGTGATTCATAATCCTATTTTGCAGTTCAGAAAGACTTAAGACAAAAGCTGAAGCGTTTAACACAAATCCAGCTAGAGAATTGAGATACCCAGGTGTGTATCTTACAATTTTATATTCATTATCTATGACTACTTATTTCATAACAGGCTGCTCTGCTGCAAATCACGCTGGGATTTCTAAATAAAATCTAAGCATAATTCCACCAGTCTGTGATTTAATATCTTTCTTCTGGACGGATGCTCACTCCATGCAAAGCCAAGACATTATGTACCTTTGTCCTTCTTCAGGAATTCCAGTAAGACCCGGATGGCAGCCACTGCAGAGGCAACATCTGGATCCTTCCTCATCTGGGTGTTAAAGGCATCGACTAGCTCTGCAAAGGTGGAACCGGAAAAGTAAAATTAATTAGAAATCCAGAAGCTTACAAAAGTCCTTCCTTTTGCATTTTACAGACTGGAATGTTTTGCAGTTGTGAGACTCTTCCAAATGGAGTATTTTGCATTTATTCCACACCCTCTCACTTACTTGCATCATAGGCTATAATGTTTGGACCACTTTCAGAAAAGTAATGTTTTTAAGGATGGATGGATGGATGGATAGATGGGAGAGGTAGGTAGCTAGAGGTAGGTAGCATGATTATAAATAGATACAGAGATATGTAGGTGGATGGATGGTTGGGAGAGATGGATAGCTAGAGATATATGATTATAGAAATAGAGGAGATAGATAGATAGATAGATAGATAGATAGATAGATAGATAGATAGATGAGACAGGCGGCTCTACAAAGAGGAATAATACAAAAATAATTAGGAATTGTCATGGATTTTACAATGCTGAAGAAACGTGACGGCAGAAGGTTTCTGATCCAAAAGGAAACTCTTCCCACAACACCCGCCAGTCTAGCAGAGACCTCACAGGGCAGGAAACTTGACATTTCCACCTGTCGAGGCTCGACCTGTTTAACTTCCAAGCTTCGGTTTTTGTTTTCCTCTGCAATCATGCAGTTTCCCTCCCTCTTTTCCTTAGGCTCCCGGGGCGAGGGGGACTCCCGTCTTCCCCCAGGAAGGCTAAAAAAAAAAAGCAATCCAATTCAAAACCAAACTTCAAAACAATGCCCGTTTCGGGGCTCCCCCCCCCTTCGCCCCTCCGCTCACCCGCTTCGTTCATGATTGGAAAAAAGGAAAACTTGGGGCGATTCCGACGACGACGCCTCCACGGAACCTTCGGCGCAGCGCCGCGCGACCTTCGCCGGAAGCCTTTCCCGGTTGCGCTCGCTGCCAGAAGCAAGAACACCACGCGCGGGGGACGTCAAAAGGGAGCACCGGAGTGCTCGTTACGTCACTTTCGGGCGACCGGGCGGTCCCACTTCGTCGTTATGAGCGGGGGTGAGTTTGGGGTTCGAATTCTGGACTTTAATTCGCGGTTGGATATGAATTCCTCCCGCATTTCCCGAATCCAGGCCTCTGAATTCCTTGGTGGGGGGAGACTGGGTTTTATTCTGAAGCGTGGCTGCCTCTAGGCATGTGCAGAGTGGCTTCACATCCTTGGAACATGGGGGTTGTATATCTTGGCTTAAAGATTAATGTAAGAGATGCTAGGGTCATTCTGATCTGAATGGAACTGGTTAATAATACATTGTATTACAGAAGGACATTATAGGAAGAAGCCATGAGAACAAGGGTAGTTTCCAAAGAAAAGGAAACAGGTGTTACACTATGAGTGTGGCGTAGGGAATTACATAGTTGGATATATTGTGAACCCAGGAAAGGGGCAAACACTGTATATAAACCCCAGCCCTCCTGGGGAAAATGTCTTCTGCCATGAGCAGAATTCCCTTTTGCAAAGCTTAATAATAAAGCTCTTTCATATTGTTCACTGTCTCTGCTGTATATTGTGATTATTATCACAATAAGATAATATCAATTGTTATTAAAAAGTATAATATCTTCCATATTGACATTGCCCGGCTCTTCTTTCAAATGTCAAATATTTAGAAATTTGAATAGAGGTAGAAATAAGAATACACACCTTTATATGAAGCAATAGTTAGATGGAAAGATTGGAAGTGGGTATTATTAGGTATGTTTAAATAATAGGAAGACGGGTACTTGAATGGTGTATTGTGACTTTGAGCAATCAAATAAGGATTATTATAAATGTGTAAATACTAGGATTAGCAATGGTGACCTGATTAGAAGCTAGAATAGAGGTAGAAATAAGAAATAGGAAGAATATTAGCAGATATAATTTTTATATAACAGAATATAAGTAATAACTTGATGGAAAAGATCAGTGCCTAAAGGGTTGAAGCTTCCACAATTTCCGAAGGCAACTTCCTTTCCATGGGTTGATTGTTCTCACTGTCAGAAAGTTTCTCCTTATTTCCAGGTTGAATCTCTCCTTGGTCAGTTTCTATCCATTATTCCTTGTCTGGCCTTCAGGTGCCTATCTGACTGACTACATAAAATGAAGGAATGGAGGGCAGATACGCTCTCAGCTTCTGAATTCTGTCCTTTTTCTTCTTTTTTGCAGACGATGAGGTGAATCTCCTAGTCATTGTTGTTGATGCTAACCCTATCTGGTGGGGCAAGCAAGCTTTGTTGGGCTCTGAGGTAAGACATATTTGTCATAAATTATCCAACTCCTATAGGTTTCCTTTGTTTTTTAAAAAAAATGTTTTCTAATGTTTTTCTTTTTGACAAATATGGCTTGAAATTTGGAAGTTTCTAGATTTAAATAATATTTCTCCTTCTTGCAGCTTACGTTATCAAAATGCCTCGATGCGACCATGGTGTTGGGAAACTCACACTTATTTATGAATCGCAACAACAAACTTGCTGTGATAGCCAGTCATATACAAGAAAGGTATTCTATTTCCTGTTGATCATTGCTCTACGAAACTGTTTTGATTGAAAGATAAGCTCCTGATGCCTGGTTAAGAACTGTACAGGGGCATAAAAAAAAACTCTGAAATTTAGTGCAAAACTAAACAGGAACGAACTAAAGGATATTTTGTTATATTTCCCTTCACAAAATCGAAAGTGATGGGTGCTTTGTGGTTGTTTGAGTATTTAATTGCTAAACGGTTAACATAATTTTAACTTCCTCTTCTCTCAGCCGTTTCTTGTATCCTGGAAAACATTGGGCAGCCTTCGATCTCTTTGGAGAATCTGGGGAATCAAATATTGCTGGTAGCAAAGATGGAAAATACGAAGTATTAACCACCATAAATGAAACCATTGCAGAGGAGATAAAGGACCTGCTGACCAATAGTAAGAGAAGCCAATTGATTCGTTACACAGCTTTGGTGTTTCTTATTTCTATTTTTTTCCACCAAAAAATTTAGGGGTCTGTTCCCAAAATGTATTATTGTATTATTAAATCATAGTTGGTTTGACTTGTGTGCTGATACAAAATTGTGGACCCCTTAAGTCTTGGTTTGAAAATGCTTACGGTAACATAACAGTTTTTTTCAAAACCTTCTTCAGTAGGATTCATCTGCCTGTCCGAGTGTCTGTCTATATATTTCGCTAAGATTAAAAAACAATCATATTGACAATCTGTGCAAGTTGGAATGAGTGAAGAATATGCTACTTAATTTCTCTTATTCCTTTGTGATCGTAGCTGAAGTAAAGGGGCAGCAGATGGAAACTTTGCTGGCTGGATCTCTTGCTAAAGCACTGTGCTGTATCCTTTTTTTTAAAAAAAAGTCAACATTTCTCAAAAACGACTTTGCATTTTTGTGTATATACCCATTTTGAGCCTCAGGATGTTAGGTACCACCTGGCTGAGTCCATCTTCTTTTTCAGCCTTCTTTTAAATTGCATTGATTTTGAAGAGCTGCTTGATTTTATTCCTGCCATTTTATCCCAGAACTGTTTTTATTCTTTTTTCACACTGTTCTAAGTTCCTGTGTGAGGGCAAGCAGTCCATTAGTGAAGTATACCTATTCAAATCATCCTGTTATAATGATTTTTTTGTGTGTTCCAAAATACAATTCAATTGATTCCTGAATGTCCTGTGCTTCAGATATTCACAGGGTGACAAAAGAAAGTAAAAGTATGTAGTCTGAGACTATTTATCCTGTTATTGCAAAACATTGATCCAATGTATTGTAAAACAGTGATCTGCTAATCATTTCTTCTCTGGTTTTTCCGTCTCTTGTTCAATATGTAGCCAGCCAGGAAATAAAATCCAGGATTATGGTAAGTTTTGCGAATTCCCTTCCATATTTTGAAGCCAAATAGCTCCTGCTATGTATGAGATCTAAATCAAGAAATTCCCATTTCTTTTCCAGGTCATAAAAGCGGCTGAAGATAGCGCATTACAATATATGAATTTCATGAATGTGATCTTTGCAGCCCAGAAACGGGTAATGTCCAGAATTTTATTACAAGTTCTGTAACTCCATAAGCACCTTACTTGCATTAATATTGTATTGCTTTCTCTTTGGAGAATCTTAATTCTCCTTTTTTTCCCCCTCAGAATATTTTAATTGATGCCTGTGTATTGGACTCCGATTCGGGACTTTTACAGCAGGTACAATATTCATTTTTATTCTCCTTCATCTTAGTTCTTGTGGAAGAACATAAGTTTTTCCTTTATGGTCCTTTCTCTAAGAGTTTCATTTCCACCTCAGTGTGCCCAAAGTTTATTCTTTCATCCTGGAATATTGCAAGCTAAGCAGAAGCTCCACCAGTGAGCTCCAGATATAATTTTGGTCTTTGGTTGGAGGGATTGCCCCAAAGGTGCTTTTTTTTTTTTTTCCAAGGGGCAACTGGACTTTCTGGTTTTTCTTTGAAGAGGTTTCGCTTCTTATCCCAGAAGCTTCTTCAACTCTGAAGAAGAATCGAACTAAGATCTGAAGAAGCTTCTGGGATGAGAAGCGAAACCTCTTCAAAGAAAAACCAGAAAGTCCAGTTGCCTCTTGAAAAAAAAAAGCACCTTTGGGACAACTGTGACCTGGATGGCTGAGAATCTCCATAGATGGTTTGAGGGGGTTGTTTGCTGCTTAAAAAGGATAAAATTCTACTTTCTAGGCATGTGATATAACTGGCGGAATCTATTTGAAAATTCCATACAAGCCCTCGCTTCTTCAGTATTTGCTGGTGAGTTCTGTTTTTCTAGCCACTTCCCTTTAGCCTGTTTGGTTTGTAGAAGTCTGGGTAAATTCTACCAAATCTTTAATGTCAGGTTTAAGCTGCCAGCTTTTAATAAAATTTGCCGGTGGAAAAAGGAGCTATTGCTGTGGATTTTTGACTATCATATACACTATTTCTACAAAATTTTGTCTTTTTTGCATCCCTTTTAAAAATCACAGTGGGTTTATCTGCCTGATCAAGATCAGAGATCCCAGCTGATCCTCCCTCCACCCGTTCACGTGGATTACCGTGCTGCCTGCTTCTGCCACAGGAATCTCATTGAAATTGGCTATGTCTGCTCAGTGTGTTTGTCAAGTAAGGATCAAGGCTTTCTTGGGCTTTGGGTTGATTTGTGTGGTCTTAAAACAGCTGTTCTGAAAGTGTTATTCTTACTTTTGTTTTATTTTTTACAGTATTCTGCAACTTCAGTCCAATTTGCACCACTTGTGAGTAAGTAACCTTGAGAAATCTTTTTGTAAGTGAACAAACACTGCCTGTTCTGTAGTCAGTGTTTCAGAATGAAAGCAAAATTTTCCTGAAGAGATACAAAATTATATAAATTGTTGTATCCCCACACTGTGTTTGGAGAAACACTGAAATCTTTGTCTCAATTTACTGCTTTTCCTGTTGCTTCTTGTCTCTTAATTTTACCAACTCGTATGTCTTTCTTTCTTTCTTTCTTTCTTTCTTTCTTTCTTTCTTTCTTTCTTTCTTTCTTTCTTTCTCTTTTTTCTTTCTTTCATTTGTTCTTTCTCTCTCTCTTTCTCTTTCTTTTAGATAATTTATATAGCCACCTACTAAATCCCTTCCCCTCACTTCCCTTCCCTTTTTCCCTTCCCACCCCACCCCACCACCTCCCAAATCTTCACCCCAAATTTCTTTGCAGCTTTGAAACTTTGCTATGTTTGTTTACAAATTTTGTTGTTGGAGAAATATACAAATATGTGCCGAATTGGGTCAATTGTTATAGTGTGACCCTAGCAATTCCTAAATAGTGAATTTTTATTGCTTGTTGGGGTGGACAGAATGTATCAAATCCTTGTGAAAAGTCGATATTTTTGTCCTGATTGTTCCCTTTTATTCCAGAACCGCTTTCAAGATTTCACTGCCAGCTGTCATGAAATCTAAGAAAAAGAAACTGAAAGTCATGATGTAGCTGCATGATCGATTTCTCTTGCCCTCTGCATGGAATCCTGTCTCCCAGACTGTAACTTTAAAGCTTCAAAAGTGGAGCTCCAGAAAAACCAACATGTATTTTTGAAATGATCAACAAAGGGCAAAACATTTCAAACCAAGGCATACATTATCCAGAACACTGTTCTAAAGTGTTTACAAAATCAAGTTTCTGCCACTGGTTTAAACCAACCCCTGAAATTGGAGAAGAAGGAAATAAACCAAGTTGGTATGTAAAACTCATTTCAGGTATTGTAGGTAGAAAAATCAAACTGGTTTAAGTCTTGATATCTTAATTCCAGACAAAGCCCCTTTTACTTAAGTTAAAATTGTGATGGATTGACATTTCAGGGCTCCTGGGCTGGTCCCTGCAGAAGCCTTCTTGGGGAAGAAAAAAATTTTGATTGAAAAAAAAAAAAAAGAATTCAGATCACAGGTATTATAAGCTACATTTTTCATTTTGGTTAATAGCAGGCCTAAAAGAATTCTGACTCCCAATTTTAACAGCAGTATCTGCATCTGAGTGTATCAGATTTTCGTTTTGGCTGGAATTATGTTAACCCAGGTCCACAAAACTTATTCCAATGGAATTCTCAATATTCCTTAATAATTTTGGTAGTAAAAATTCCTCCAGGTTTCTCTTTTATGGGCAGTGAAGATCTCACACCTTCTGTCTAGACAAATTTGCTCAAAACAGGTTGCTTGATTTTGAGAAGAGGCAAAAATTAATAGTGCATCTTGGTTGATACACAAGTAATTTAGCACGTGTTTCCCTCTGTCTCCAGTTAACATTAATGTCCAATATAGCCAAAAAACATTCATTCCATCCTTTAAATATTGCAACTCCTTTTTTATGCATGAAAATGAAGATTTGCTGTCTTATTTGAGGGGTGTTCCTTACTTCTTAGAATCGATTGAATTTGTTTAATTTATTAAGATGCCTCTTCATTCTTACTGTTGATTCGTTGGATGCTATTTTTGTTTTAACAGTCTTTTTTTTACTTCTCTTCAATAAAAGTACCTAAGAAGAAAGGAATATATTTTCCATTCCTTATGAAATATACCTCAGCCATTGATTATATATTAAGTTTATGACATTCATAAACGCCACAAAAAAGAGGTTGAACAGCTTAACTTGGTTTTGTGAGTAGTTAATTCATTATTTTGAGGCATTATAAAAAGAGCAAGGCCAGTGGTTAATGCATTATTGAAGAAGTAGCTTCAGAAATTATCCAAATTATTCCAACTTTTTAGCTTTGGGGAAGACCTTTGGCCCATCACTGACAATATTTCTCAGGACAAATGTCTTTGGCACACAAAGATCAATCTGCCTTCTTCACATCTCCAATTTTTTCAGTCTGCCCAAGTATTTAGCTATCATAGATCAGTCATAAGAAGGATTTAAGCTCAGAGAAAGACACCACATGGGAAAACCCCCCAGCCCTGATTAAGAATAGCTGCTATGCTGATAGATTTAAAACAAAATCATTTTAATTTGTTAATGAATTGGAAAGGAAAACCGTCTAGCTGTTTCTTACTTACAAAATCCTCTTTTCTTGCTTGCAACCGATTCTGTGGTGGACGTTGAGCTAATACTTCTTGACCAACTTGGATTATTCTGTTGAGATTTGATTTGCCATCTTTTGACCTGATCTGGCCTGTGCGTTGCTAACAGAATGATATGTATTGCTAACTTGGGTATCTGCTGGTTTTGCAAGATGAATTGCTGTTCGAGGCTGAGCACATAGCATTTAGTTTTTTATTTCAAATGTTAATTCCTTTCTGTACAACCTTGTGTGGCCCAGAAGAGGCTTCCAGCTTCTTGGTTCTTGACTGCAAATTTTTGCATTGCAGAGATTTGTATCTGTGGGTTGGTAGAACATCTGGCCAAGGAGAGCTGGGGGCCTGTTGGTTAAGAAGACCACAGTTTACACCAAGGGTCTTCAAACTTGGCAAGTTTAAGACTTGTGGACTTCAACCCTCAGAATTCCTGAGCTAACATGATTGGGAGAGGAATTCTGGGAGTTGAAGTCCACAAGTCTTAAAGCTGTCAAGTTTGAAGACCCCCTGGTTTACACAATATATCCAACCTGATTTCTGAGTTCTCTGTTTTCTAGATTGCACATTACGTTGAATGGGCTGTGTTGAAATGTGCTACGTTATCTCCCGCTCCAAAACTTAAAAGAAATAAATCATATTTGCAATTGTCTTAAGGGCCAGTTGCTAAGCGCCCAAATTTTGATCTTGGGGACACTGCAATGTTTGTACGTGAAAGGACTGGTTGTAGATCACTTTTTTCAGGCCCCTTGTAACTTCTTGTGGCTAAACAAATATTGTAACTACCGGTAGCTGTGTAGCTTGTTGAGTTTGGCCTTCGTGTGTTATGTGGACCCAGCATCTCTTATTGTTGTTCCACAGTTTCTGTCAATACGAGATGACCTACTGAATAAACTACGTAGCACACTGAATTTGTAAAGCTTCGTAGTGGTTTATAAAACCACAGTTGGTGGCGTCACAAACACAAATGCCAAACCAACAAGCAAAGTAATGATTTAAGTGCAACGGATGAACCCAGCCTTCCTTTTTTTAAATGGTAACCTTTTAAAGCTCCTGTGTTTTCCAAAGTTAAAACTTACTTGGGCTAGTTTTGGAGAAGATGTTGGAAACCTTCGGCCAGCAGTGGTGAAGAAGGCGGTGTCCGATTTCGCATGCCTCCAGGGGTCTAGATTCCTCCAGCCGCTCTCACTGGATCTCAGGGGAGAAGCTTGAACGCTGGACAGCGATCTCCTGGAATCTTTCTCTGTGACCATAGATAATCCTCTCCTAACTCTGTGTGCTAATTTCTTGGCCATCAGCAAGCAAAACTGCCTTTTCTCCTCCTCAAGTTCTTGCAGCCGGCTGCGTTTCTGCTGTTCCAGCTTCTTTAGCCTCTGTGGAAGAAGGAAAGAAGAGAGGAAGAATTGCAAGAGGGAGCACCATCAAGCAAGGAGATGCTTCCTGCTTCCGGTGAAAGGAAATGTTGACTGTTATGGTCTAGACATCAAGAATTAAGAGGTAGTGGATCCTGTAGATCAGTATTTCTCAATCTTGGGAACTTTAAGAAGTGTGGACTTCAACTCCCAGAATTCTCCCAACCAAGGCTGGCTGAAGAAATTCTGGGAGTTGAAGTCCATACTTCTTAAAGTCCCCAGCCTTCCAAAGTTGAGGAACACCGCTGTTGAGAAACAGCAGGGCATTTAGCAGGATGTAAATAGACAGGCAGCGATTTCTGAGTCACCCTGTTTTGTCAGCTGTTGCTGGTAGATTTCTGGTGGTTGAAAAACATTAATTTTGCCAGCCTCAAATCTCTTTCCACCAGCTAGCCAGTGTGTGGAACAGAGGTTCAAGCAGAGGACTACAAACATCCAGACCCAAATTTATGTCTTCATTTAACCCTTGCCTTGATTTACTTTTTCTCAACCCAGCCTAGCCTGCGTGGCTGGGAGGATAAAATATGTATTATTTAAGCTCTTGAAAGTGACATCTGGTCTACAAATAGAATAAAGAGATAATAACATGGATATTTCACATTTTTGGCGGTCCTTTAAAATTCCGGACAGTTGGTGAAATTCCCAGCAGTGAAATGGGTCGCCTTACCATGGCTAGCTCCTTCTGTTCTTTGATAATCCTATTCTTCACTTGCTGAGGGGCCGTCAAGAGATCTGCAAGGCAAAAGGAGTAGAAAGAATCATTCTTGTATAAAAACATCAAAGAGACTTTGGGATCGCCGCCGATGGCCATGTTTGCTCAATGTTAATTGAGCCACGGTGTTAAAAATCTTGGAATGGGGAAGAAAGCAGATGCTTCTCTTGAAATGGCTGGGCTCGGAGTGATCTACTGGCAGATGGCAAAAGAACTTGCTCAGGCACCCAGGGAAGGGGATATCCTGGTTTATCGCTTGAAGGCGGATGGATTAATTCCCACATGCTGGGCATTAGCTAAACATTGACTAAGGGCGTCAGACTAAAGTGACCCTTCATTTTTTACAAGAAAACTCTAAAGGTCTCCATCTTTATCTTCACCTCTAATGCCCCGACATGTTTAGCACTGGAAATTCTGCCCAAAATTTGCAATTTGAGCTTCGCATCTGCTAATTTTCTTAGCTTCAACTGTTATTGTTTGCTTTGTTATTTCCAGCTTCCTTGACGTGCCTTGTTTTTTAAGTTGCTGTTTTTTTTTTAATGAGGTCTTCTTTGATCTTCTAGTTTTTCAGATTTTTTTTTCTTCCTTTCATCTGTTTAAGCTTACTTACATCTGATCTCAGATTGTTAATCTTATTTTCCAGCCTGGTCTTCCATTTTGGTGGCACACTTTTTTTTTTCTTCATTGATTTTGCATCCCAGGTATTCAATTTAACTGCATCTGTGTTGCACATGAATTGTTTTTAGCATCATCATAATTATTATTATTTTTATCATGGCACAGAAAATATTTTTTCCACTATTGTCTTAAATTGGCTATGCCAGGGATGAGTTTCTGTATTTGGCTGTGCTTTTGTTCCATGGTTACACGGATATTTACACCAACACAAATAAATAAGGGTTTGATCTCCCTTGCAAGGCATTCCAGCTGAGCTTTGGTCTGTGACAGCAGACACAGCAATTTCAGTGGTGATATCACAAATCCAGAACTGAATGCCTAGAGAAATGTAAATTATTCTATCCTTATTTTGCATTTTATGTTACCTCTGGGAGCTAATTATGAACAAATCAGTTTGCTTGGCTGCTATTTTGGGGTTGTTGTTGCTATTTTTTTATGTTTCAATGGCTGTTGACCACTTATACAGAGATAGGCTGTACGTGAATTGAAATAAATGAATAAAATAAGTTTCAAATGATTTGGGGGACTTGTTTTTGAGTATTATCAACAGAAAATGAAGAGGCGGGTTAATCTTTAAGCAGCAAGAATGATGGGAAGGAGGAAATATAGATTGTAAGTTGGAGTTAAAAAATATATAATTTTCACTGCTGTGGCTGATGGGAACTGTCATCCGGTCTATCTGGAGCACGGTTTCTCCATCTTGGCCCCTTGAAGCCATGTGGACTTCAACTCCCAGAAATCTCCGGGCGAAAGTTGGTTGTTTCTGCACTGGAGCGTCTGCGAAAGGAACGCTGGAAGTTGTAGGGCAGCCCCGAGTAAAGAATGTACCATTCCCACAAGTGGGGGAGGACAGGAACAAGAAAGGGCCTCTTTTGTGTTATTTTCCACCACTTTTACCACAGACCCGCATCTTTTCCCACTCCTTCACTTCCACTCGCAACGCAACGGGAGATTTCAGCCTCTTTTTTTTTTACCCCCTTTGACTGCCCCGCAAGCCTTTCGCGCTCCCTTCGGGAGGACCTGGTTTCTCCCGGCCGTCTCCATAGCAACCGAGGAAGGCGCCGGGAAAGATGGCGGCGGAGGAGGAAAGGGACGATCCTGAGGGCCCGTCTTAGCTCCGCCATGAGCCTCCGGGGGATCCTTTGGGGGCTGCTGTGGCTGTTTCGGGCCGTGGCCCAGGATGGGGATCAGGGTGGGTGAGGGGAAGGTCCAAGGGTGGGTGAGATAGGCTAAGCAGCAATGGGCAGGCAGAAACCCAACAGGTTTCTGCCCCTCAGCCATGAAATCTCTTCCTCCTCTCTCGTTCCTCCCGCCTTTGCTTTCTTCTTTCACATTCATTTTCTTTTCTTTCTCCTCCCTTTCCTTCTTCATCCCTCCATCCTTTCA